TTCCAAGCAAGAATACACACGAGCAACAATATCATGGCCTTAATTTTAAGATTTTTTTGAATAGGCATATTTTAGTTGTTCTTGTCATGTGATGGGTGAATGAGTGCTGCATGAGGTTTAATATCATACGACCGTACTGTGGTTTCATCATCACGCTCCTTATCTTTTGTGAATTTAATACAGACTATGTACCGAGTCGGTGCTTATGAATCATTTGCATTTTAAAGATATTTAGGTTTTTTGAGTGTAATCCCAAATGAAGTGTTTTAATTACAGTAAGTAACTTAACAGTTCTTGCAAGTATTGTGGAAGTGAAGCAGTGCTATGATTGATGATTCATTATCCTCCACAATGATACCTCTGTTCTGTGACTTAATCATAGACTGTTACTAATGTTTCAAATGGCATTGATTCCCCCGTTTTTCATTATTCATCCCAATACCATTAAATGTAGAAAATGCATCTTGTATAGGCAGAAATGATTAATGAATGGGAATAGTATTATTTACACCACCACACAAAACAAGAAACCAAATGAACATCAAAGCTACAATTTATCTAGCGTGCCTTGGCAAACTCAGCAGGAGCAGTCTCTGCTGACAGGCCAGCGATGAAGGCTGCTTTCCAGCACTGAGACTGATCTCTGAACAGCAACTATTGGTGAAGCTATAGGTATCACCTGGGACAAGTTCATTCATGTTCTAGATAGCTGTGTTGTTGAATTACATCTATAGGGCAGACTATAAGAAACAGCTCTCAACTTAACGCAACGATGCATTGAGCTGGTAACGCATTCATCATGAACACTGATAGTGAGCGGTTTACTGCTACAGAAGCCATGAGTGCAACCAGCCAGAAAGAGCAGCTGTTGGACTTCCTCATCTTATTTTTAAACTACTTCAATGTTTGTCTATATATCATTGTCTAGCCGAAAGGTGTAGAATATTTATGTGAATGCTTGTGTCGTGCCGTAGAATAAATCCTAAAAAAAGTAGAAGATGGCCCATTTTTCTCCCTTTTGTATTTTGTTATTCTCAGCATCCTGAAACGTCACCATCTTTCACCAAAAGCCTTATCCTGGGAGCAGAAGGAAACAGTTGTTAGATGTGTCAGAAAGTAAAGACGTGTCACATGACAGTCAACAATGCTTGCTTTAACTGTACACTGCAGTTAGTGGGTGCATTGTACAGTCACTGTGTGTTATACTGTAAATATATCACTTTATATTCCTCTCTGTCTTGCTTTGCTCTGACCATTTGCCAGTCTCACACACACACACACACCTACACACACACAGTTGTCCACAGCAGATGGTGGGACATCTCACAGATTACAAAAACTGAAGTCTTACTCATGCTCTTTACCAAAACATGTTTGTTGAACAAAACAGATCTGAGGAGGAGATATTTTATCCCTCCTCAAAAATAGGCAGATGCTGTGGAAATATCTATCTCCTAATTTTTATAAAGGACACGCAGCACATAGACTGCGTAGGAAATGTGGTGCCTCAGTGACAAGTAAGCAAAGGAGGAAGCACAACAGAACTCACAACCTTGCCACATTGCTTGCTTAACCTTATTTTCTCTGAGTTCCATGGATGCATTTTTTTCCATGCTGGCTGTTGAGAACACGAGACCAAGTCAGCAAAACTGTGCGACAGAATGCATGTTGAATGTTCCGAGAATGGAATTCGATAAAACCAGAGACATCAGTAAAACCACATCACATTGTAGTTTTATTGAATTCTAACTGAATTGAGTTTTACTGTTAGGGGGGGCGGGATACTGGTCCGTCTGCTCTCTGTTATACAACAGACCAACATGCATAATGTTACTCTTCTACTCCGGAGTGCAGCAGCAACATTCAAGAACGTGTTTCACGGGCCGCCACCGGAAGGTGCGCACGCAGCTTCATGACAGCTCCCCAAAAGTAAAGCCCAGACATTTAGATGGCCCCTTGGTGGCTGGCTAGTTTAGGAAGCACTTGATTTGATATGCAGCAGAGTTTTGTGGGAGTGGAACGCGCATTTTACACTTCAATACTGTAGCCAATAATAATATTTGATTATTTGTGCAGTTCTAGCATACGGAAGACCAGAAGTATGACCGAGTGTACGTACATTGTGATGTGGTTGAGTCTTCTCTTTCAAAGCAAACGTCACCAGCAATTATAAGGTGCCTTAGCCTGTTTTAATTTCAAGAGGACCTTTCACTGTCCACACAATCACACAGGTCGTCGCAGACAGATGACAGTCTCTCAGCTGTTTCCTTCTAGCTTCATGCTAATATTGTGCATCACCAGAAACTGTGTTGTTGCAGGTTTTAAATATTTCATTTTATTCATAATGTGGTTGCATTACCAAATGCACTGTACATGACAATGAACTCATGCAGGGACAAAATTGATGACATTTTTACAATTTGAACATGTAGGCGTGAATAGCGTTCATTGACAGAGACATGACATTTACAGAGATCTCCACCGACAATAAAATACATCCCGAGTCACTGGAATATTCGAAACATTTCCAGTTCAGCTATGACTGACACAATCACTATGATGTATCACTTATTACCAATATCTTGACAAAGCATTTTCTATCATTGTTTTGCTTACATAACGTGTCAAGACTAGTTTCAACCCGGTCCTTGAGAAGTTCCACTGTCATACACCAGGAAACAGTTTATTGCGTTTCAATGGCGGCCTGAGATTTTCCACAGTGCTGCTGTTTTCTCATCAGTGGCATGTTCCTCTGCATCTGCATCACTCCTGCTTATTTTTGCTGTATGCACCATGCTCTGCTGGGAAACCTCTAATGTCATAAATGAAAGCTGCAGAACTAGTCTTCAAAAAGAGAGACTGTCACACGGGGCATCTTTTCAAGTTATTCTGAGCTACTATTTAACCAGCTGGCTGCTAATGTAAGCGGCCTGAAACGGACATAACTTGGACTGTTAGCGTAGAGAAAGAGTCACTACTTTCTTGGTCTTTCTGAACAGCAAAACGATACATTCTGTTGTGAAACTGCAACAATAAGTTCCAAAGTAACAAAAATGATCAATTACGGAGAACACATAGTGACTTTGCAGAGTGTATTTATTGGAAAAACCCACATTTTTCACCAACTAATGAAAGGAAAATCATGTTTGCATATATTTTTTAAATGTCTCTGTATATATGTTTTGCCCCACATTCACTGCAGCAATCGTAGCACAAATGTCAGCTCGTTATTTCACAATTTGCGATGTGTGAAAAGCTTCTGTCTCCATTGCGCAATGTTTTAGGTCTTGCCAGAAGTAACCGTAGACTGCACCACTGTATTCAACACTCCTGTCCACCTCTCAGTTTGTGTACTTTTTTAAAATGTCAAACCACTGTTCATGACAGGTTGACAGACGCACACAGCCTGATTCATTGTCCCTGTCCAGATGTCTTTGCAGGGACAGAAATGTAATGTCACCAGCATAAGTGAAGGCCTGCGATTCTTTCAGAGCTAAAGATCTTTTGAAAGAACTATGATGTCTTGGTCACGGTTCCATCAATAGTGCCAGGTTGCCGTATTGCCTAATGTTCATCCATCTTTAACCCACTGTGTGTAGTATTAGGGCCCTCTGGCCCAGATCTGCCATGCTCATTCACATCCTTTATTCCCTTCTGCCTCATTGACATTGGCAGTAGACTGAGCCAGTCCCAGCTGGCCCATTCTGAAATTGCTTACTGTAGAAACACATCCCCACAGTAAAACAGACTGCTGCCCCCATGCCAGCTGTTCCGTCCTTACATTCACCTAATGTAACCCCACTGAGCTTTAGGGTTTTAAAAAATATAATGAACAAAATATTCCAAGTTAAAGTGCAGATTGTCTGAAGAATTATACGATTGAGACTCATATTGCAGAGCTCAGCACCTTCTCAGGAGTGCATCTTTTCACTTATGTGACTCACTTCAGGCTTCGCTGGACTTTCCTCCTGTTTTTCTTTACTTCTGCCTGCTTTCCTTCGTGTTTTTCTTCATTTGGACACTCACTCCCGTAGTGCAATGCTGCAGTACAATGCAATGCTTGTACCTGCATGATTTTAAGTAATGTGGACAATGTTATGCTAAAACTCCACAGAATGGCATACAGCTTTTCAACTGATGAATGTGAATTCACTGTAGCCTTACTCAATGCGTTCCAGCTTTGGAGAGATACATTGTAATACTGGAGTTAATTTAGAAAGTTAATAGCATAAATTTAAGGTTAGAGGGGTGGCCGGCCGTAAATTCTTGAGTGTGCTTTGTTTTATTTGATGTGCAGAGCCAAGATTTGCAGACTGTCAACAGTTACCGGACATCCATGAAAATCTTGTTTTTGAGCCAATAGTATATTTTATGGAATTGCTGAGGCAATATGGTCCCTATGAATACACAACAATTGGAAATGTTATGGTGACACCTTGTCATTGTCAAAATAAACGTCTTTTTATTATAAGGACATATCTATAAACTCCATATCCTGGCCCATCTTCACCCAGTAAGTGTCTAACTCTGCCTATATCACCATCAATACCATCTCACAGTGACACAATGCTGATAAGACTGATGTCTAAGCCCTGATCATCTAACAACTCAACCTGCTGGCAAATCTTTATCAGTGCATCACAGAAAACATGCCATGGAGTGGGTTAGCAAGACAAATACCGACTACAGAAAAGTTCTAAAGCACAATGCTGCCCCAGCGAGGCTTCCGCCACTCTGACGTCACCTGTTGTCTATCATCAACCTGTCAGCTTCTGAGAAACATTCATACCAGCAGCCCTGTATTTAAAAACGGCTCTATTTAAAGAGTTGGTACAGCTGAACACTTCCTACCAACTGTGTGAACACCTCTAGCCCTCTTGGGCAAATATAATGTGCAATATGATCCGTCACAGAATTGAATTTGTTTTAATGAGCAAAAAAACCCTTTTAAACTGCCAACATTCCTCTAACCTCTACTGATCTGCTTTTGCTCCCAACAGAGACCATGACGACCGCCACCTCCCCCATCCTGTTGAAATGGGACCCCAAGAGTCTGGAGATCCGCACCCTGACTGTGGAGAGGCTTCTGGAGCCCCTCGTCACGCAGGTAGTTCAGTTAACACTTGATGCAAATGTGACAAAAAAATAGCATTGCCGTTTAAACGATAACTGGAGTCTTCTGTCTCACTCAAATCGGTTGATGTCTTATAATATATGTACCAACAAGACAAAAACTAAATCCAAATTCATAGTTTTTGACACTCTTACTGATTGTAAACAAAAATGTAAGTCTTCCAAAGTATGACGGCAGACATTTTGATGGATTTATAAACACACGACACGTGTCATAGTTCAGCATGAGAACAAATGGATTACTTTCTGGTTGCACATTTGTTGGATGACTTGTTGAAAAGAAGCTAAACTGCATTGTGTTCCTGCAAAAGACTTTGACTCATCGCCTCTGACTTTGTTTGACTTCTCAAGCTGAACAGATGGCTGAACGCCACTTTGTTCACCCTGGCTTATTGTGACACACTCCGTGACTAGGGTTGGATATTGTTGATACTTTTTGAAGATTCTGATTCTAAATTTATTTATTGAATCTGCCTCGAATCGTACTTAATCCTGGTTCAGATAACAGTCGTATTATTTTACAAAGAAAAAAAAGAAAACGCGTCTTATAAGTAAAATCCACCTGTAGCTTTGGCAGATTTAGTCTTCTATCACAGTATTGTCATGTGACTCAGAACGTGTATTACGAAGGCCTACAAAGCAGTAATTCATTCGTTCAAAGATTTTAGATTGATTAATCGTATCAAAAGCACCTGAATATACCATCAACTGCATCATTGGTATGGAACAATATGAAATATCCATGTCATGATTATCCGGGCCAAAATAATTGCAATTCAAAACATTACCCAGATAATCAACACAATATGCTTAACATTCCTAAAATGGCTCCAGAACATACTGGAATTATTTTGCTTTACATTTTGTTAAGAAACATTTTCTCAGTTCACAGACAGGACACACATCGTTTTTAGTGAACAACAAACAATCTGAAATGAGGTAATGATAAATCACAAGGTCCCCCTGCATAAATAAATCAAATGAATTAATAAAAATGGCAACATTGTGTGAGTCTGGTCTTCTTCTTGATAATTCCTGTATTTTTTAAAATCAGGCCCTATTTTTCACTTCCATGATAGCGAGCTGGACACCTTTTTTAAATCACTCACATGGACGACATTCACGATTATCCCAATAATGTACATTTTGTGTGATAGAAACCTGTATTGTCCCATTCCTTTTGCATTAATTACTAATTATAATGACCAACTGTCAGTGTCTACAGTGATGAATGGCTTATCTCAAGCAAGGTTTAACCATTGCACATTCTTTTTATTACTGTGCGAACAGGAAGAGAAACCAATGTGTACCTGAAAGGCGCTGTAGGATTAACATGATCCCCCCCCCCCACCAGCTGGTTTGTCACACACAACCATCTAAGATGCCGTTATTGGAGATTGTTTAGAAAAAGGCACTTCCAAAAATACTTTGCAGGTCATTGGATGAGCCATCCATCAATCAAACTCTTACCGAAGCCAGTTGTGAGAAGAGCAAAAACAACCTTTTTATCAAAAAAAAAGCCTTCTGCGTTATTCTTTGCTGCTCTTTCAATAAAGAGATACTCCCCAGTGCTGATATAACCGATGCTATAGCAGCATCTATGCTAACCTCCTCAGGAGCCGCAACTGTTTAGAACAAACAGTCGCCTCTCCGTGTCGTCTCACACACACTGAAGCCAAACCCATAGCTGCCAGTAGTTCCTCACAGGACAGGAAACTGGCTTGCCAGACACAAACGAATCGGAAATCCCTCTACAAAATCAAGCAGACTCACTCTCAGTATAGTTGCAAAATGAACACAGACTCCAGGCGGGACTGTACCAATTTATTCCAGAAAGACATCTTTGGCAACTGTCCTGTTTCCCCAGGATGTCTTCATAAATCTGCTTCATTGCAGGTAATGGCCGATCTACGGACAGTGGTGGATAAAATATTTTGAAAGGCTAGATTTACTTGCAGCCTGGGACTCGCAACACAACCTGTTACTCTTTGCTCCCCTAGAGAATGTATTGTATTGTCGGTATTGATTGTAAACTTGTTGCCAGCTTTACCTGTTGCAGCAGAAATACACAGCCCTCTAATCTCCTATTGTCACTTTTTATTCGTGCTATCTTTTAGAAACAAGGGATTACTATAGTGTCTGGGTTCATCTTAATTCACGCGCAGCACCCCTTTACACCCACTTATATCAAAATAATTCTATTTGACTCGAGGAAGTCTCAAATCTTGACACCCAAGTCCACGGTCCTAAACAAGATTTTAGAAAAAAAGAATAACGTGAATGCTTCATAACTCTGTTTTAATATGGATAGCCTTGAGACACTTCAATAAACACAATACAAAACGCAGTTGTACAGTAACTCATGAAATGCAACAATGCAAATTCCGACAGTACAAACATAAGTAGGAATGCATCTTGTTGTATGTTAAATATAATGTCTTTGCAAGCTGTTTAGGGTATCCCATTCTTCTGTTTGAACAGATGCTACTTCATCAGTACAGAAACCTCCACTTTGGGGTTGCGTAATACTGGAGCTCTCGTGAGTCATCCGAGCTTTTTGCACTTCTTGTTTATTGACACTGACAAATACTGTCCACTGCACCACAGAGGTGCAGGCTTTGGGGATACAATCTCTTCAGCGTTTTGATGTTCATATCAATGTCAAATCAGCCAACATAGGCCAACCATAGAAGATATTGTTAAGCTAGGAGTTAGCATCTGTGCAGGCATGCGTCACTTCTTCAATCCACTTCAACAGAACAGCTGACGTGTAACATGCTTAAATGCTTAAATCCCGAACAGCGTATTCACACTGGACATGCTTGCTTAATACATTTGTTTTTTTTGCTGAACCAGCTCATTTTGTGCCTCGACAAAGTTCAGTTCATGGTAAATAATACACAGTACACAACCCCATGGTTTCCATTCAGACGTGTGTGCTGTGTGTAGTCTGTCACCCACATCCAGTGTGTGTTCTCATGAGAGGCCATCAAAGTGATAGAGAGGTAATTACTTATTGTTAGCAGGACAAAAAGCTGAAAAGCTTCCTCTCTCGACGCATAGCGATAACTACTAATTACTTTTTATAGCAATGTCCCGGCTGCCCTTACAGCCAATCATGTGTCTGACGACCAAACTGTTTTGTGTACTCCCATTGAATTTATCTTAATTAAAATCTATTTTGCTGTTTTTGAAGCAGTGATCCCTGATTTTTTTTTTTTTTCAGACGGCTTCATTCTGACAATAATGATCAATTTAGCCAAAATAGAAAAAACAAAGAGCTGCAGGTCTTTTGTTCGGACAGATCTAGAAATAATAATCATCTGATCATGTCAGAGGTATGATATCGGGGAGTTTTATTAGCAGTTTCTTGACACTGAGATTTAAATTGAGAAATGTAATCTTTGTATAACTGCTTTTTAATTAAATTAACTGTTACTTAATTTGCTCCCTCCATCTGACTGTTACCTCTCTGAATATATGGATATTACAGTAAACAATGATTCATCTGCCGTACTGCTTAATAATTGTAAACCGCTGTAAAGATGCTGCCATTGCGGCAGAATGCCTTCACTACACCTATGGGAATAAGCACAGCCGTCAACTGTGGTAGTGCATCTTTTACTGCGATTGCATTGGACGCGTGAAGCGTTTTTCGGATACGACCGAGAGACTGATTGTTTTTCCTGTCAATTTGGATGATTCAGTGTTTTTGGATGGAATAAAAGGTTGCCTCGGAGGACAGACAAGCCCGGCTCACCCTGACAGCGCCTGAGATAGCGGGCTCATTTATCATGACCAGCTTCTCTCACCCCTGCTGGAGTGCTGGCAAGTCCAACACTGAATGGGCTTACTTCATCACTGCCTATGAAGGCAGCATACTTCAGATATAGTAAACATTTTTATACTGCAGGCAGTAGATCTTTTTTGACAGAATTATATAGCGAGGTATCCCTGAGAGGCAGGTGGAGCCAAAAAAGTACACTAGAAGTTTGACTCGTTTAATTTACGACGGTCTAGAATATATTCACGTTGATATGGAAATGTGAGGGCACTGAACAGAAACCAGTTGAGTTATATCTAGTTTCCACTTTTTATAATTTGGCCGAGAAGATGATGACAGAACTTCGGCACTTGGCAAACTTTCGCTTCGACTAGCTTCACTTGCAGTCAGTGGATAATCTCATGCAGTGCTGTTGTGGCTCTTGAGGTGCATATTCAAGTGAAATATTCATTTCAAACTTTGAATTCAACTTTTGACATGTAAAAATGTACATTATGTAACTTTGCAAGACGCCGTTCTTGGCTTCTGGAGGTTGAGGGTCATTTCTTAATGTGTATGCTTGGTATTGAGAGTTAAAAAGTGAATATTTCATATGCTAATGAAGGATGTGTTGTTCCTTCCTTGTATTGTGGGAAACATTATGCTATCCTTTATAAACAGAAAATATATTTAGCTGTTCCATGATTCTTTGCTGCAATATTTGCGACGGACTAATATCTGTCTCGCCAGTAAAATGTAATGCCAGCATGTGGGTGATAATACATGTATTTCTCTGAAATACACAGAAAAAGCTGCTCATTGTATGCCCTAGTATAGACAACTGTACAAGGACACTGAAACTTGCTCAACAGTTGTCCAATCATGAGAACATTAAAGCATTTTTAGATATTGTCACATTGTTTAAAATTGTTGGCATGCGTGTGCACATGGATGTATCCAAACAGACACAATCTATAAGCTATCAAATAAAAAATACTTTATATCAGATTAGTCATCAATGTACAGTTATTCTGTGACAAACAGCACATCATTGCATGTGACAAACAACATTTAGAATTACATTTCAAAAGGGGCTTTTTGGGGCTGACACCATGTCAGTGTATTAAGGTGAACTGACTGTGAGCATAAAAAAAACCAATAAAACAAAAAGCAAGCCTTTCCATTCCATGCGTCTTGGTGCTATTGCTGCT